CAGTCGGGCGGAGTGCCACGGCCCATCTCGCTGCAGGGTGCGTGACTTGTAGCGAGATAATACTGTAATTATGCATTGTAAGATGTGTATCATAGCCTTTAATAAGTATCGTCATGTAAGTACAAACTGAGTACTAGAAAAAACGAGTTTTATAACAAAAACACTTCTTCTATGCTATCCTGCTCGGGGATTGTACCCAATACCCAATCGAATCAGAACACATATCGCGTTTCCCGGTTGCATTTAAATAGATAACCGCTGTCTATAAAACTCTTTCGCCCGTTTCAGGTCTGTGGCAGTGGCGATACCGTTCCCGACCTTTTATGTCGCTCGGGACAGCAGCAAGAAATCAACTAAATAGTGTTCGTAGCCTAGCAACGCTGTCACGTTCATTACAGTTGCTATAGGCACACCTAGATCGGACATGTACTCGTAGATTCACATTAACGAGAATAAGTACACATCGCTGCACTTGTACAGTTCCTATTAATAATCTTCGCACAGTTCTGGGAATAGAAAAAGAAACACGCTATGTGATTCACAACAGCAAAACTTCGTTTAAACTATTGACTCCGTCCATCGTGCCAACTGCCAAGGATGGATGCTGCATTTCCGCGCTGAATCTACAGCGGGCAGCGATAGTTGTTGACGCAGAAATTCGTGCGATCGGCGTTCTCCTGTGTGCTGTTGTAACCTTTTGCCCAGTTCCTTCACAATGGCCATAGCCGACGAGTCCCATCTCGAAGGCAATCGGAGATGTATTGACGTATGAACAGTTGTACGTACAGTTGTACGTACAACTGTACGTACAACTTGTTCAGTTGTACGTCGTGAACTTGCAACACCCACTGTACAAGGACGTGTCCAGCCAAGACGTAGAGTAGTACACTAGCCGGGCGCTGGCAGCAATGATGTAGGTTTTGTTTTCCTGGGATTTTGTCATCCCGTTGTATCTGTGCACAATAGTTCATCGTGCTGCAGAGCTGCACAGTGCACAGTGCGCACCACCAGTGTGAATTTTTTTGTCGACCTTACCGCGTCCATGATAAAATTAAGCGGGAGCAATTTTCTAGTTATTTAATAATTTTTGTTATTTTATAATTTATCGGTGAACTTGCCAGTTACCAAAATCTATTGAGATTCCAGCGTACTTTTTCATATTTTCTTTTCGTATACGAAGAAGTTCTGGTGATGTCAACAGGGAAAACACTATACGATAAACAGTTTCGCTTGTAGTACCTACAGGACACAAATAAACATTTCTTTTAAATTTATGTATTGCAGCTTGGTGCACTTGGTAAACGATGTGAATATTTTTGTGCAAAGCCACCTACGCCCAGTAAGACAAAATAAAAACGGAGTCCCTGGGAAAACAACGCTACAGACACCTCTTGGCGTGCTTATCACGCATGCATTAACAATAACAATAACAAGCATATAAAATGACAAATACATGGTGCTGCGGTGCCTTACAAATTTACAATTAATCGCGGCACTCCACGGCTGGCTACTGCGCTCGCGCGATACGAGCGAATGCGCGCTGCGTAAACCAGTGGTGGTGGTGGACATGGGTGCGGACCCAGCAGTGCACCGTTATGGACCAGGGAGAGGGATAGCCCTCCTCGCGCAGGGTAAGGGTCAGCGTGCTGGAACAGAAGGGATCGGCAGCGCCCGGCGCCGACCGGTCGAAGGTGACGGAACCGTTGAGCAGATCGGGGATGTCCCCGCCCAGCAGTGCGGAAAAGGGCGCCGCCACGACGTAGTTCCCGTAGCCGTACTTCCAGAGGAAGTGCGACGCGGGCGGCGTCTGGCTGCAGTCGAAGCGGCCGCGGCACGTCATGAAGAAGCTCCCTTTGCGGACGGTCACGCTGTGCATCGGCGGCACGAAGACTTCGTCGGCGCGCAGCTTCCGCGGCGTCGGCTGCAGGTGGAAGGTGCGCACAACGCAAAGGTCACCGTCATGGCAGGGCAGGAGACACTCCACCGTCCCGCCGGAGTCGAGGCTGACTCCGCGGATAAAGAGGACAGCGGCGTTGTCGAAGTGCCTCTGCGCGTAGCTGCTGACGCCGAGGGTGGTGGTGTTCTGGTGGCGCCAGACGATCCGCTGCGCCAGTGCGGACGTGGCCACCCTGCACTCGAACCACGCCCGGTCCCCCACCTCGACAGTAACGGTATCGGGCAGTGGCTGCATCGTCGTCGTCGTCACAAGGTCCGCGGCGTCCTCCAGGGCGGAGAGGTCGACGACACGGTCAGTCTCCCAGTACGGGGCCGTCTCCACGACCTCTGCTGCCCGCCAACGCTGCACTGCAATGTTCTGGTGGCGCCAGACGATCCGCTGCGCCAGTGCGGACGTGGCCACCCTGCACTCGAACCACGCCCGGTCCCCCACCTCGACAGTAACGGTATCGGGCAGTGGCTGCATCGTCGTCGTCGTCACAAGGTCCGCGGCGTCCTCCAGGGCGGAGAGGTCGACGACACGGTCAGTCTCCCAGTACGGGGCCGTCTCCACGACCTCTGCTGCCCGCCAACGCTGCACTGCAATGTTCTGGTGGCGCCAGACGATCCGCTGCGCCAGTGCGGACGTGGCCACCCTGCACTCGAACCACGCCCGGTCCCCCACCTCGACAGTAACGGTATCGGGCAGTGGCTGCATCGTCGTCGTCGTCACAAGGTCCGCGGCGTCCTCCAGGGCGGAGAGGTCGACGACACGGTCAGTCTCCCAGTACGGGGCCGTCTCCACGACCTCTGCTGCCCGCCAACGCTGCACTGCAAGGCCAATCGACTTTCAGGCTTGTCCCGTAATTTTCAACCTAAGGCTACTGATGGCGCGTATTTAGCCCGAAGTTGCGCTAGGAATGCTCGCCCCTTTACTATGTCTACCGCAGTGACAACTTGACTCCTCTCAAGATTTACTTGTTATACTTAATGATTCTCTTTAAGGGATTTGGCCCGGTACATAGCACTGAATTCGTGTACATTGACGGGATTATTCGCTTTCGCGCACTTCCAAACACTTTTTTGAATTGCTTTTCGACATTATGTAGCCAAATGTTTCGTATACAGAGGCGTGAAATCCGTTTGTTCGCGCAACATCCGGTTCGGGAGTTATAGCTATTAGAAAATTCCATAAAGTTTAAATGCATTCTGGTGCACCAAAAGTCTCATTATGGACCGATCCCTTTCAAATTTTGCACGAAAATGCGCATACCATGAAGAGCGTTCTTACACGGATCCAGACTTCCACGATTTTTTTCGAATTTTAAAATGATTTTTAAAATTTTTGAAATTCATTTTAAAATTTGAAAAACATGCTAGAACAGTGGATCGGTGTAAGAACGATCTTCATGGTTATGTGCATTTACGCACAAAATTTGAAAGGGATCGGTCCATAATGAGACTTTTGGTACACCTGAATGCATTTAAACTTTTTGAAAATTTGTAGCAGTCATTACTCCCGAACCGGATGTTGCGCGCGAAAACGGACTTCACGCCTCTGTATACAAGTCATTTGGCTATAAACTACCATAAAGCAATGGAAAAAAGTGTTTGGGAGTGCGCGACAGCGAAAGTTCCCGTGGATGTGCACGAATTTAATGCTATGTACCGGGCCAAATCCCTTAAACAGTAAGGAGTTTGGCGCAACCCGTGAAATTGTAGTTGGCACTGTGTTAATGCGATGGAAATTATGGGACAAGCACGTGTCCCGGGATAATATTGGTGGCCCTGCCAGCGCTTACCCGGGTTCGGACCGGCCAGAGGGCAGCCGTCCACACCGTATCCCACTACACTGACCAGCACTGCCAGCAGGAGAAGGCGGTAGCGCATGCTGTGCGTCATCGTTCGGCTGGAGGCCTTCCACGCATCGTGCAGCGTACCTGCTCGCAAAGGCACTTCGTGCGGCGAGGTGAATGCTGTGAGGGACACATCAGTCATTTCGGTTGATTGAGAGTGCCGGGGGAATTCCCAATCGTTGTCTGCAGCTGCAGGAAAATGTTAAAGGTCACGCGACTAGTTAAGAACTTTAGACTGGGCTTTTTCTCGTATCACCAGTTTAACAAATTACAGTACTTTCATTTATTTTAATTTTCATTCTGATTTCCTGAGCCGGAGAGGCACCTCCCCACCACCAACCTAAGCGGTGACATTGCGACTTAGCGGCTGATTCAAAGAGTGAGTCTCAGATTCGAAGCGCATCTCGCTGATTTTACGGTTGCTCAGCCGCACGAGGTGGCTGTATGCAGTGGCCGGCCACGCCTACAGTTACGGCACGCGAAGCTACCTTGCGAGGTGAAGTTGCTGTATCGCAACTAGCTTTGCTTTAAATCAACTAGCTTTGCTCTTTAAATTTTGGGACGAGACCACCCTTACGGTCTCGTCCCGAAATGCAGCGACGGTGTTTAGAGCCCACATGGTCAGTGGTGGCTTTGTCTTCAATGGCGTCGTTTTGCGTAGCGGTCTCGCAAAGGTGCATGGACGTATCAGCAGCCCCACTGTGCTTGTTAAAGAGCTGTATCCTTGGTTGTGTGGTTTCGCTATTTGGACGTACAGTGAAACCTCTGAAATACGTGCACTTCCGTACAGAAAATTTCGTACGTAATTCAGGGGTGCACGGAATTCAAATTAGCTACCCCCAGCCCCCTGGGGGTGAATGCACACTTAGGGGCACTGCCCCACTACGAAATGCTGTGCAAAACCCTAAAAATACACGTAATTTAGTTGTTTTCATACAAAACTGCATGAATTTGTGTGCATGTACAACAGTACACAGACAAAAACAATTCTCTTGCACACATTTCAACCGAAAATATTATTAAAATCTAACTCGGGATACAAAAAGCTAGTGATTGCGATTAAGCTCTCCTTATTTCTTTGATTTTCACAACTTTCCCAATAGAAAGTTTAAAATCTTCAGTTCTGAAGCAGCGGTGTACGCATTCACGAGGTGACTGCGTACAGTTAAATTCCTATGCGGTACGGAGAATTGCTGTACGACCCAGAAATTGTTTTGGAAGATTTGATCACTGTACAAAACGAAGCCTCCAAACTCGGCCTGGAACTTAATTTTGCCAAGTGCGAGCTGTTTGTGTATGGCGGTACCGAAGAAGAACGACTGAGGATCTATGATCGTTTTAATGCGGTTGCACCCGGAATTCAACTGGTAACCCCAGAGACACTCGAATTGCTTGGCGCTCCTCTCACTGACTGGTCTATTGAGCGTGCCCTGGACTGTAAAATCAGTCAAGTTAAGAAACTGACAGAATCTTTGGGTGTTTTGCCGGCACATCAGTCTCTATTCTTACTCAGAAACAGCATGTCCCTGCCACGTCTCATGTACATTCTCAGAGCGGCGCCCTGCTACAAATACCCAGAGAAGCTCAGAGAATTTGACGATTTGATAAAGTCTAAGGCCGAGGAAATCACAAACGTCAAGATGGACGATGTTACATACAGGCAAGCTTCTCTGCCGGTGAAATCAGGTGGGCTAGGTTTACCAAAAGCGGAAGAAATTGCAGCCCCAGCACATCTGTCTTCACTTTATGCGACTGACGAGCTGGTCAGTAGTATTGTGCCCGAGGACTGCCCTGATGACCGGATCGAAGTCGAGTTTCGCTGGGAAGAATTAACTGGAAAATCAGCCCCTGCTAAAGAAGACCGAAGCAATCAACGCCTGTGGTCGAACATGCTGACTATCAGGAAGCTGGAAGCCTTAAAGGAGGATGCCGACGTTATCGCCTCTGCTCGCTTGTTGGCCGCCTCTACTAAGAATGCCAGTGCCTGGTTGTTTGCTTTGCCGGTTGCTAGCCTTGGCACACTGTTGGACGACGCTGCGGTACGAATCGCTGTTGCTTTACGATTGGGAGTCCAGATCTGTAAGCAACACAAATGCCGTTGCGGGGAAATGGTTGATGCTCTAGGTTTGCATGGTTTGTCATGTTCGAAAAGTCAAGGGAGATTCAGGCGACACGCAAGTTTGAATAGCCTTATTCAACGCAGCTTGGGATCAGCAAAAGTGCCTTCTATTCTGGAGCCACCTGGATTGAGCAGGTTAGATGGGAAGCGGCCGGACGGTTTATCTCTTTTCCCTTGGAAGAACGGCCTCCCATTGATTTGGGATGTTACAGTGTGCGATACATTCGCTATATAGTACATTGCCGGCTCATCGGAGGAAGCGGGATCGGCAGCAGAAGACGCGGAAGAGCAAAAGAGGAACAACTACAGGGAACTGACTGATCGCTATTTTCTCCAACCAGTTTCCTTTGAGACTACGGGAACTTGTAGCGCCAGTACCCGTCAGTTCATCAGTGAAGTCGGCCGACGCATAGAGAAGCGCGCGCTACCGAGTTTTTGTGGCAGCGTATAAGCGTCGAAATTCAGCGCGGAAATGCCGCATCTGTTCTGGGTACTGTTGGTTGTTCAAAAGAACTGGAAGAGTTGTTCCATTTGTTTTAGCTATTCAATATTTGAGTTTTAAGTGTAAAACGGCATTTTGCTTGTACATGTTGAAATCAATAAAGAAGAATCTTAACCAAAAAAAAAATTGCTGTACGTGTACGCAACGCTGAGGTGTACGTACGTAGAGATTCCCCCCTGTACTCTAGTATACGGCGAAATTCGGTAAACAGCATTTCTCGTACGTAATATCTACAGAAGGGTGTACGTTTCTTGGCGGTGTACGTACGATGAGGTTTCACTGGTATCGGGAACAAGCGTCATCGGTAAGGACAACACTTTTACGACAACGCTCTGACTTTTACAATTTCGATAAGGACAAAACTTGACGGTTTCCGCGATCAGTTTACCAGCAGATAGTAAATATACCGTTTATACGTTATCAAAATTGCACGTACGCAGTGCAGTGCATGACAATTTTTTAGGAAGCACTGCAGTTCATTTTTTTCTGCGGTGTTTATAATTCAGATATGATGTATCTGTACGCCTACAGGCTACAGGCAAGTCATTGCGAATGCCTCATTGAACGATACGGGTATGAACCTTCGAAGACAGAGATCGCAGTTTCCTTGGGATTTTTTTTGCATCCAAATGTGGATGGACAGTACAACATTCCAATGGAAACTGTTATAAACGGCATGGTTCAACCAGCCGCCAGGTAAAGCACATATTTTTCACTTACTTTAACAGAAATTTTTTTATGAAAAAACTAGCTTGTCTAAGTGAATAGCTAAAATCGGTTCAAATGTGTTATAACCGTTTCCAGCATTAAAACCCATTGTTATCCTGACATTGTTACGGGCACGGTGTAAATGGTGGAAGTGGCACCTGCCACTGGCAACTGCCCCTGGCAGTGGCAGCTTACTGGCAAGCGGTAAAACATGGCAATTGGCAAAATGAAAAAATACCATGTTTCCTAATTGCACTTATTGGGAAACACTAATAAAAAATGGGAAAAATATAGTCAATTCGAGAAAGATTGCTGAAAAATTGCGAAAAAACGAGAAATATGTTTGAGCAACCCATCGCAGCACTTTTGGGAAACACTCTTAAAAAATGGAAAAATATAGTCAAATCGAGAAAGATTGCTGTAAAATTGCGAAAAAACGAGCAATATTTTCGAGAAACACAGCGCAGTACTTTTGGGAAACACTCTTAAAAAATGGGAAAAATATTGTCAAATCGGGAAAGATTGCAATAAAATGCGAAAAAACGAGAAATATGCTCGAGCGAAACAGCGCAGCACTTTTGAGAAACACTCTTAAAAAACGGGAAAAATATAGTCAAATCGGGAAAGATTGCAGTAAAATGCGAAAAAACGAGAAATATGTTTGAGCAACCCAGCGCAGCAATTTTGGGAAACACTCTTAAAAAACGGTGAAAATATAGTCAAATTGGGGAAGATTGCAGTAAAATGCGAAAAAACGAGAAATATGTTCGAGCAACCCAGCGCAGCAATTTTGGGAAACACTCTTAAAAAATGGGAAAAATATAGTCAAATCAGGAAAGATTGCAGTAAAATGCGAAAAAACGAGAAATATGTTCGAGCAACCCAGCGCAGCACTTTTGGGAAACAGTCTTAAAAAATGGGAAAAATATAGTCATATCGGGAAAGATTGCAGTAAAATGCGAAAATACGAGAAATATGTTCGAGCAAAACAGCGCAGCACTTTTGGGAAACATTCTTAAAAAATGGGAAAAATATAGTCAAATCGGGAAAGATTGCAGTAAAATGCGAAAAAACGTGAAATATGTTTGAGCAGCCCAGCGCAGCACTTTTGGGAAACACTCTTAAAAAATGGGAAAAATATAGTCAAATCGAGAAAGATTGCTGTAAAATTGCAAAAAAACGAGAAATATTTTCGAGAAACACAGCGCAGCACTTTTGGGAAACACTCTTAAAAAATGGGAAAAATATAGTCAAATCGGGAAAGATTGCAGTAAAATGCGAAAAAACGAGAAATATGTTCGAGCAACCCAGCGCAGCAATTTTGGGAAACACTCTTAAAAAATGGGAAAAATATAGTCAAATCAGGAAAGATTGCAGTAAAATGCGAAAAAACGAGAAATATGTTCGAGCAACCCAGCGCAGCAATTTTGGGAAACACTCTTAAAAAATGGGAAAAATATAGTCAAATCAGGAAAGATTGCAGTAAAATGCGAAAAAACGAGAAATATGTTCGAGCAACCCAGCGCAGCAATTTTGGGAAACACTCTTAAAAATGGAAAAATATAGTCAAATCGAGAAAGATTGCTGTAAAATTGCGAAAAAACGAGAAATATGTTCGAAACACAGCAGCACTTTTGGGAAACACTCTTAAAAAATGGGAAAAATATAGTCAAATCGGGAAAGATTGCAGTAAAATGCGAAAAAACGAGAAATATGTTCGAGCAAAACAGCGCAGCACTTTTGGGAAACACTCTTAAAAAACGGGAAAAATATAGTCAAATCGGGAAAGATTGCAGTAAAATGCGAAAAAACGAGAAATATGTTCGAGCAACCCAGCGCAGCAATTTTGGAAACACTATTAAAAAATGGGAAAAATATAGTCAAATCAGGAAGATTGCGGTAAAGTGCAAAAAACGAGAAATATGTTCGAGCAACCCAGCGCAGCAATTTTGGGAAACACTCTTAAAAATGGGAAAAATATAGTCAAATCAGGAAAGATTGCAGTAAAATGCGAAAAAACGAGAAATATGTTCGAGCAACCCAGCGCAGCACTTTTGGGAAACACTCTTAAAAAATGGGAAAAATATAGTCAAATCGGGAAAGATTGCAGTAAAATGCGAAAAAACGAGAAATATGTTCGAGCAAAACAGCGCAGCACTTTTGGGAAACACTCTTAAAAAATGGGAAAAATATAGTCAAATCGGGAAAGATTGCAGTAAAATGCGAAAAAACGAGAAATATGTTTGAGCAACCCAGCGCAGCACTTTTGGGAAACACTCTTAAAAAATGGGAAAAATATAGTCAAATCGAGAAAGATTGCTGTAAAATTGCAAAAAACGAGAAATATTTTCGAAACCCAGCGCAGCACTTTGGGAAACACTCTTAAAAAATGGGAAAAATATAGTCAAATCGAGAAAGATTGCAGTAAAATGCGAAAAAACGAGAAATATGTTCGAGCAACCCAGCGCAGCAATTTTGGGAAACACTCTTAAAAAATGGGAAAAATATAGTCAAATCAGGAAAGATTGCAGTAAAATGCGAAAAAACGAGAAATATGTTCGAAACAGCGCAGCAATTTTGGGAAACACTCTTAAAAATGGGAAAAATATAGTCAAATCAGGAAAGATTGCAGTAAAATTGCGAAAAAACGAGAAATATGTTCGAGCAACCCAGCACCTTTTGGGAAACACTCTTAAAAATGGGAAAAATATAGTCAAATCGGGAAAGATTGCAGTAAAATGCGAAAATACGAGAAATATGTTCGAGCAAAACAGCGCAGCACTTTTGGGAAACATTCTTAAAAAATGGGAAAAATATAGTCAAATCGGGAAAGATTGCAGTAAAATGCGAAAAAACGAGAAATATGTTCGAGCAACCCAGCGCAGCACTTTTGGGAAACACTCAAAAAAATGGGAAAAATATAGTCAAATCGAGAAAGATTGCTGTAAAATTGCAAAAAAAGAGCAATATTTTCGAGAAACACAGCGCAGCACTTTTGGGAAACACTCTTAAAAAATGGGAAAAATATAGTCAAATCGGGAAAGATTGCAGTAAAATGCGAAAATACGAGAAATATGTTCGAGCAAAACAGCGCAGCACTTTTAGGAAACATTCTTAAAAAATGGGAAAAATATAGTCAAATTGGGAAAGATTGCAGTAAAATGCGAAAAAACGAGAAATATGTTTGAGCAACCCAACGCAGCACTTTTGGGAAACACTCTTAAAAAATGGAAAACTATAGTCAAATCGAG